GGACTAAGGCCTTCAATGGCCTCGGGTCTATCTTGCGCAAGAAGAACGTTTCATCTAGTGATGAGCGGTGCAAGAAGAACGTTTCATCTAGTGATGAGCGGTGGAGTTCAAATCGGGTTGTGTAAAAAATATGCAGAAACGAGTGCCGGCGAAAACACCCGTTAGAGATGTCATATTGTTTACAGCTTTGTAATTATCAGAGGTTATTTGGGGCTCTGAGCGCTTTAATTCGCTATATTTTTATTTATTCGCATGCTCTAGTTGTTCCTAGCAACGTCTCTAGTTTCCACCAACTTTCTTTTCCTTATATTGAATGGACTGCTCCTCCAACTATCTACGATATTGCACATCGCTTTCTCTCCCCTGCAGTAATGCATTACATGGCTGAACAAATCCATGATGAACAATCGTCCATGTTCACACTGTTCAACGATGTACTGCATCATATTGTCTTGCCTGTTATATCAATCACCTTATCCCATACCTCTGACAAGCCCTACACCACAGATGTACAAGCCCGCAACGGAATCTTCCTCAGACCGTCATTCCTGTTCCAAGCTAGCGTTTCCGGGGTTTTATTCTCTGCTCTTTCACCCTGGTCGATGGAGAATCTGTATTACTTTTATTTATTCTTGTGGTTGTGTTTTCTCTTCCTGCTATCGGATTCACTGTGAATATTCATACCCCAGGAGTGTGTTTCTCTTTGCAGTGACCGAGGTTCTCTATTTATTTCACTTGGCACTATTTTAGTTTATCTATTTAGGAGTGAATATTAATTGTTGTTATAGTTGATAACCATGAGACCAACCTCCCTATATTTGCAAATTTGCAAATATTAACGCGACGGCATTTAAGACGGGATCAGTATATCCACTAAGCAACTTTGTGAACACTCCCGTCTTAAGGTCTGTCAGTTTCTTTTGTTGGCAACAGGTTACAGTGCGCCAGGCACCACGAGGATTTGGATTCGGGAGACAAATCAAGGGCCCTAAGCGTATCTGATCCGCCATACTTGATATCATGTCTACCAATATTTCCGTATGGAAAACCCCTGAAGTATGAGAGACCATCGGGTCTCACTAGGGGAACAGCCTCAGCGCAGGGGTGGAATTGTCTTCCATCATACTGCCCCGTACGGATGGCTCAGCAACAATTTTGGGGGCCTAGAAGATATTCTAGTATCGCTATGATGATCAAATACATCCTAAGATCTACCTATTCCATAGCCCAGTATAATTTTAGAGGTAATTTCTGAGCTATTAACGTTAAGTAGATACAGAGTGTGTTCCTCTTCTGTTCAGTAAAACCTTTGATTTCAAAAGTATAAATAGTTCACCAAGGCAGCAACTGTAAATTCGGCGGTCGTTTCAGTTCTCTTGTTACATTCATAGGCTGGTTTTACTATCTTGCATGGATGATGTAGAATCGACTATTCGCAATATTGTCCATTACTTCGTTACTCTCGGTGGCACATTATAGCTTCAATATTCATCGATTTAAGCTTGGTATGTCAAAACCTTTCTTGGATTCCCATTCCTAGTACTCACCCGCATCGTGGAATCCATATCCAAACGCTGAACCAGCTCCGATACATCGTGTCTGGCTAGCCCATTCCGAAAAGTAGAAACACAAAACAAGTGATCAAAAACTTCATTCCCTCCCCAAGAAGGAAAGAGGAGTTGGGTCCATCCAAAAATGTAAACAAATGCACCTAGACATCTTGTGCAATTGTGAAAATAATCATCGCTTGCTGGCTTTCGCTCAGTCGGTTTGGCTCACCAAATATGGGGACCAAATACAAATCATCTATAGGTTTTGGAGACCAAGATAACAGGGATGCCTTGACGGACACCACTTTGTAAGCTCTCTGGACGCTCTGTTTTGGAGCGTAAGGGACAGCGGCGAGCCGATTTGGATGATTTGGTGAGTAAATGTGTCTATCGGACTGCTTGTGTCACATATATGTTCTTCGTTATTTTCATTCTTTTGGCATATGCGTATTTTTGAGAGGCAGTATGAGCGAAAAAGACATGAAACCCTCGCGCATGTGAGGAATATAGCGTTATCGGTATGGTCAAGTATCATGTAATAGATTTCGTTTGGCAGGAGGCCCTGGGTTTCCCTACCGTGGGGCTTTAGACAACGGAGCGTAGCGTTTGCGAAGAAGCTTGAGAGAGCTCTGAAAGCTTCCTTGCTAGTCAATGGAGGTGGGGCAGGAAGGCTTTGCGGCTGATATATCTGGAGATTGCTTAGCGAACGAAGCAGAGGAGGCTCGTTTGAAGAAATGTCTGTGACCTGACAGTCCCCGAATAATTCGAGCGGGTCTGTGTGTTTCACCACTGAAATCCCATCTACAACTTCCACATCGAGAGCATAATGGTTGAGAGTGACAGCAATATGGCTTGGAAGGCGAGGTTTCCTTGCCGAAGGCCGAAGCTGACTGTCTTTTCGATATAAATGTGTCTCCGTTCTGGGACAAGGCTGACTAGGACATTATCGAACCAATAAATTGATTCGTCGGGCGCCGAGCCTGGGAGGTGATTTGCTAGATGATATCCAAGGCTAAGTTCTGATGGCCATGAAGCTTTATATGATGGGGTATGAGGACGCTCTGAATCCTCGATCGGAAAGCAAACTCGCCCAGATGCCATAGAGATGATTGCAGATGCAAGCTCCCGGAACATGAAGCTACATGGCAACCACCTGATATATGCTTGACAGGTACTATGAGAGTATGCGGCTCTGAAGTTGGAAAACACCAGCTCGTAAAACGGCCAAAAAAGGGCCAAAAAGGGCCTGGGTCCGCAGATAACCACCTGTTTGGGAGAAGCGGAATTGCGCGATACCCTAGTGGCGATGGTAGCTGGGAAAGATCGATTTCCTGAAGTTTCTTCACATACGCGTCGCTACAGGCCTGGGAGCTATGCATCGTAAACACGAAATCTTCAAGGACTTTGCCCTTCGCAGCATACTCTTGCCGCGTCGTTTCGAGCCAAACTATTGAAAATAATCGTTCAAATTAGATTCTTCATTCTTGTGAATCCTCAGTTTAGTTTCATGGAAGCTGGCCTATGACCTACGACGATAATTCCACGCTATTCAAGAGTATTGTATAAAGGATATCTGGAACATATGCCCCATCAGGATTCGCGAAAACCTTTCGTGCATAGTATCTGCCACGATATACGACGAGCTGAATCCCCCGATTATGTCCAGCATGTCTTGTGGTAGCAAACGTGGTGGACGCAATCCTGGGTTTTTGTAGGGCATGGTACTGGTATCTGCACGGTGACTATGAAACGAGCTCTGAATCACGTTCCCAGAACTAGTAACTAAGTTACTTCTCCATATTTTGGAGCAAAACTAGTCGCCTCTTTTTCTACTTCAAAACGTTGTAAGCTAGGAGATTGGACATCAACGTCAACGTAAAAAAGGGAGCTGATTGACAAAATACGGTGCTGGGGAGGCTGAAGCTTAGATCGTCCCACCTTGCCGCTGAGTTAAAACAGACATTCATCCAACGCTCTGACTCCTGCATTTGTGGATGAAAACCTATCTACAATGTATTTCCCAATATACCCTTATATCATCAACCTACTTTCTTATATGGACAGCCGCGATGTCCAATCCACATAATTTGCCGAATCAGAACGTGAACGCTCAAAATTTCTCTTATGGAGACGTATGTTCCTTCGCTCTTTTGATTTGAATACAGAGAGCTAGAAATAAACCCAGCAGAGGTTTATCTACTCTCGCGGCTCACTAACTAGCTTTCTCTGTTTATTGACTGATAGTTGGCTTCAGGGAATGGCCGTGCTTCCCCTCGCCACCCTTTCAATAGCGATGAAGTCACTTCGTCGACATATGGGACTGTGGTGTCAACTTCCCTTATGGCGTGCATAAAAACATATCACTATCTATGAAACGTGCAAAATATAGCTGCTGCTAGTTTTGATGCATCCATTGTACAGTACATAAATCCCAGACGCTATATAGCAGTCACAACTTTCGATTGGCCCGCTTTCCGCACAAATGATACCCTGACCGCACTGTTATTTCTGATTTAGTACCTATCATGACAGCATCAAAATTTCTGTTCATGACCGGACCAGCGAAATCGGTGGCCATCTATCGGTGGCCTTCTATTTCAAACGGATTGCGAGATAAAAGTCAATGCAGAAATTTCTCTCAAAAGAGGACGATGCATCAAGGACAATGCGGTTAGCTGGTGCCTGTGACCAAGACTTTGTTATGTCCGATGTCAATTTCAACTACGGAGTATCAGTTTCCGAATGTTGCGAGGATGATTGAGGCGGCTCTGTTCCGGGCACCGATTTCCACGCAGCGGGAGGTTGGTTTCAAAAAGCTAAATACATCTCATCAACGTCCGAAAGGGAGTTGATTTTCATATCTTTCAATTTACTCAAGACCACGGCCGAACCATTGCTAGGATGTTATATTATTTGACTACCCCTAACTCGTCCCCTTATTCAGCTTCGACTGTCTTTACTCAATTCCACAATACCACGGGCAGCCACAATTTATTTTAACGTTCAACGCCATGAACCATCTGCCGAAACTTTGACGTCATATGTCATGATCAATGGGTCATATAGGAATATTGTTGCTAAATTTATAATTGACTTTTGAGTTTATTTCAACCCAAAGGTTATATATATATCAGTGTGTCGCCCTCCCAGGTCAATTGAATAAATAATAGAACACTGGACAATAAAATTGTCTTGGGAAACTGGATATCTGAGCTAAAATTATATGACTGCGCCACATCAAAAACTTTTTATATTATTATATGGAGTTCAATATTTCCTGATTATAGCTTCTTCGGTCAAGTTAATCCAGCCTTTTATTCTTCTGTGCCAGTATCAGAATTCTTTCATTCCATTTTGTTTGTTCACCTTATCGCAGTCTTTAGGCACAGCTGTCTCTACCTTCTGATCCATTTTTAAACAGCTGGATTATAGAATTTAACCGATTACAAAATGGCACCCAAGAAAACAGTCGTCGTCGTCGGCGCTTCGTGGGCCGGGATCAAAACAACACACGCCATCCTGAAGAACATTTCAGATGTGAAGGTCATCCTGGTCAACCCTTCATCGAAGCATTTTTTCAACATCGCTGCTCCCCGCATCCTAGCAAAACCGGATGCATTCAAACCGGACCAGTATATTTTCGACATTCCGGAATTGTTCCAAAAGTACGATAGGAAACTCGTCTCGTTTGTCCAAGGTGTTGCAAGCTCAATAGACGTGAATCAGAAGACTGTAACTGTCACCATCGCTGGCGTTGACAACAAGGAACATGGGGAATCGATCATTTCTTACGATTATCTCGTTATAGCGTCTGGCAGTACTACCTGGGCAACGACGGGCCAATCCAGTGTTCTTGCACCGTTTAAAACGACCGGATCAGATGCTATGCAGACTACCATCGAACAAGCACAGAAGGCTATATCAGAAGCTAAAACTGTAGTGGTTGGAGGAGCCGGCGCTGTCGGGGTCGAATTTTGTGGAGAGCTAGCGGAAGCATTCCATGGCAAAAACGACAAATCCATCACACTCCTGACAAGGACAGATCGGATTCTACCTACCTTGAAGCCTACAGCAAGCAAGAAAGCTCATAAAATCCTCTCCGGCATGGGCGCCAATATTCGCACATCCACTGTTGTCAGCAGCGCTTCCCAAGATCCCTCCTCTAAAAAATGGACAGTAACATTGGAGGGAGGTGAAACCATCACTGCGGACGTATATATCTCAACCACTGGCGTCGTTCCCAATAGCGACTTTGTCCCCGCCGACCTAAAAGACAACGATGGCTGGGTATCAGTCGATGCGGAATTCCGCGTAAAGAGAAAGAATGGAACAGCTAAAGAGAAATTACCAATCTACGCGGTTGGCGATATCACTACCCATACACCTCGCATGTTGTTGAAAGTTGATGGCCAAGTCTCTGTGCTAGTCGCCAATCTCCACGCTGACATAGAGAAATTGAAGGGAAAAAGGTCCCAATATTCAGAGAGTGATAAAACCATCATGCTTGTGCCGATTGGGTCACGGTCGGGTACAGGCCAGATTTGGTTCTTTGTTGTATGGGGATGGCTTGTCGCGCTCCTAAAAGGAAGAGACTATTTCCTCTCTCGGGCTGACTCCGAACTTATGTGATGGTTTGGGAGTAGTCGACTGTTGCTTTTTCTCCCTAAATATGTCCTTGTAATAATAATATGTGTACTGTGGGAAATCTTCTTTTCAACTTCTATTTACAGTTTTATCAACAATGGCAGTTTAGATGGTCCTTGTGGTGCGGGGCTTGCTTTTGTTTTCTTCTCTCTAATATACATCTTTATTCCCCTTGTTCAATAATCGTTCTGAGCAGTATACCTTACATTATTTTAATTTAATTTAATTTTAGTTTCACAATTTATACGCAATGGGAAATATACACTGGGTCTATGTACTCATGAAATTGGTTGGAGCTAATTACACAAGTGGAAGTAACATGTCCTGCTCAGCTTCAAGTATGCCCGATATCTATATCCACCAAGAAGGACTTTCTTCCGACATAGTTACACTCTGAAAACAGCCACAGGAGAGAAATGCCCTTCTCTTCCCTCCAACCAAAACACACAAAGCTATCCAAATAGCCAAAACCACTCACATATGTCTCAAAGTCCGGATCTGCCGTGGAATCCAGCCACATTCCAAGTTGGAAACCAACAAAATACTGTAGTAACATACGCGGCTCCTATATACCTTTCCTCCTATGTGCAAGTATATTAAAAGAGGAAGAGAAAATAATCCAAGTAGTGCATGTATATCTACTGCTTATGTTGTGTACATAGGTACACGGTGATGTATATTTCAAAAGCACGCAAGCAAATATCCATGAAAATAATCAGGGGTTTGAGCTGGAGTTGGTCATACCCCAGGTACAAAGGCTTACTGTATGTAGTGATTGGTTTTATGTATATCAGCATGTATAGGTACGGGGGACAAAGTACCAACTAGTACAACACAGTCCATACTAGATCTCACAGCATTGATTCTGACTGCCTTTTGTGTTGTGCTTGGGGAAAAATAAAATAATGAGTGGTAGAATAAACACAGACAACGGGTATTTGCGGAGGTCGTACTGTTTTCTCGTTAGCCTACGTCGAGAGAAAGCTACAATACAAAAAACTCAACTCCCTACATTTCCACGTGTAGACGTGTAGATGCCCGGAGCTTGTGATTTCTATCTAGAGCTGGATAATATGTTGTTCCGTACAATATGCGTCTCCTGGCATTTGCGGGGGTAACAATATGGGAATGTAAAGACCCCGGATCCAATATTCATCATTCTGCATATATTTTCTGTCTTGCGTTCTAGAATATGGTTCGGTTATATATGATTTCAAAGTTTGGTTAAGTTTGCACCCAAATTGAGTATAGCCCATGCGTTTCCCAAGGTATGCTTGTTAGAATCGGATGAGCTGCAGCACTAACGCCTCGACATCACCACCAACAAAAGCGAGAGCAACGGGGACAACATAAGGGAAGCGGCAGCATTTGGCAACTTATGTATCTGGTTACTGCAAGCAGCCACCCGCTAAGCTTGCCCTAGCGGACACAATGAAACTGGATGAGCGAAAAAGAAGGAAGGGGGTTAAACAGAATAATCCAGGGAATCCCCCATGTACTACACTGTGTCACCTCACTGTTCAGTAGTTTCTGCAGCATCCGAATACGACCGAGAGGTAGCAGTCGTCGATCTTGTCACTCCAGCGCTCTGGAGTTTGTGGTCGAGTGCTCTTTTCTCTTCATCTATCGCATCTGTAGTGACTAGTGCAACTTCCTCACCGAAATTTTTCGCGATTTCTTCCAACGTCAGACGAGCTGTTTCGGGGAAGAAGAAGTAGATAACTATTAATTTTGTGTCAGTAGTCCTTTCTCTGGGTTTGGTATTTATTGACACGGTCAGCAGACCAAAAGCTAAGACAAATGGGAATTCTAACATACTTGGGATGAAGAATGCTGACCAGCAAATAATAACGAGATAATACTTCCAGCCTACGTTAGCAAATCCTATTGGAGCGGTTTGGAGGAGAATTATAGTCGCTGCGCAATTGTTAGTAAACGTATTCCAGCGTTGAGAGTTGTAGTTGGTCGAGCGCCTTACATGAAAACTGCCCAAAGAGCGAAAACCCCATTCCAATTGGACGAATCTCAGTGGGGAAGATTTCAGACACGTATAGGTACATAGTAGTGTCACAGAAGGTACTAATATGAGAAATTAGTTATAGATTCACGGCGGGTCATTACAAGACTTACCCTTGGAAAGCAAGATATAAAAATATAAAGAAAATTCCCAAGCCATTGCCAACGCGGTTGAGAGTGCCAGCATACCTGGCGGTCATGGCTGCCAAGCATGATGTCGTAACAACGATGCCAATGAAGCCAACTATAAACATTCCTCGTCGAGAATTGACTTTATCATGCAACCATGCCCCACCAGGATTGTAAATAAGGCCTGCCGTGGTTAGCCAAAGTGCGCTTAGGAGCAGCGGCATATGGCCAGTCATGCCTAGGTTTTGATACAGGAGTACTGCATAGTTATTCTGAATATTGTTAGCAATGAATTGAGCCACCAGCGCAAGTAGTAATTGCTGAAAATATAACTTACAATAATCAACGGCCCACCAAACTCAGCTCCCCACTGCGTCAAAAACCCGATTAGCATGCGCTTTCTGTATGACTTTTTCTTGAAAATAGCAGTCCACACGCCGTGACCTGTTGCGGCAAGTTTTTCGGCTTCAAGTTTAAGTTGCTCCTTAGTTTGAACAAATTCATCCTTTGCTACCAGGTTGTCTGGATCATCTTTTGACTGCCGTAGGCGGCAAATGATCTCCCAGGCTTCGTCGAGCTTCCCTTTTGATATTAGCCACCTAGGAGATCTTGGAAGCCAAGGTGACCCTGCAAGCAAGACCAAGGAACTTAACGTTTGCAAGCATAGCGGGAACCGCCAGGCGAAAGTGGGGTTTCGCGCTGTTGCAAAGTAACACCCATAGCCAACCCAACTGGAGAGCATGTAGCCGAAAACCAAGAATATTGGATGATGTCCTACCAACCAGCCACGTACAAAGGGGCTCGACAGCTCTGCGAGATACATTGGACAGACGGTGACGAGGATTCCAATCGCAGTACCAGAGACAAATCGACCGGCTTGAAACATCCTGTCCGCAAAGTTAGTTATGACTGTCGCTACTGCCAGAGAGTTCGGAAGGTTATCAAACATACTTCAAATTAACTGCTGCTCCCTGTAGAGCACCGCCGAGTACTGCAAGAAACGATCCAAGTTGAATGTTGGCTTTGCGTCCTACAGCTTCACAGGACCACATCATAAACAAAGATCCCACAGCACCCCCAGCACTAAAAACTCCGTTCGCTGTAGCAATCGCACTGGTCGTGATCTCGGTATAACCGGGCTCGCCCTGTAATGGGAGATTAAAAAAAGCGTACCAGCCAGGTTGACCGATAGTGCTGCCTATGACAGAGGCACAGTATCCATATGTCTAGAAAGACATTCGAGGCAGAATAGTTAGCATGAGTCAGGATTGAAAATACATTGGGGCGTTGGAATCCCAAGCAGGGTTATCACGTACGAAGGAACCTAATGCAACAAACGCTATCACTAATCGATTATATCGGCTGGTCTGCGCTCCAAAATTTGTCATATTGAGCGCAAGCGTAAAGAGATTAATGGAATTTGGGGCGAGTGGAAGGGAGAAGTAGAGCTCTTAACACTTAAAAATATCATAGGGATTGGGGAGCAGAATGGTGACATGAACAAAACGGTAACAACGGAACAAAAGCCAGAAACGCTCCACTGAAAAGGAAATGGAGGACGGCGCCTTAGAGAATAGCAAGAGCATAGACAAGTGCAGGCTATTTTAAAGAATCAGAGCAGGTTGAGATGTCGTACGGGTTTAACTCTCCTATTGTCTTTGCAATACCCGAGTAGGGCTTCGAGAGCACAATGCCAGGTACGAAAGAAAGAAAGAAAGAGAGAGAGAAAGAAATAAAGAAAGAAAGAATAAAAGAAATAGAAAGTGAGAATCAGATATTGTCAGAACTCGATGTGAGAACCGCTGAGAACGCACAAGAGAAAGAGAATTCAGGTATCGAAGTGAGAGGCATCAGCCACGCATTTTGCAGCCCTGGGCCAGGCTGGTAAGACGAACCAGCTTCCAAGAATAGCAGGGCACCCCGTAAGTAAACAAATTTGGAACTAAAAGGAAAAACGTAGTAACTGTCAAAACTTGCTCGACACATGGCCACCAAAGCCACGAGTTTCTGTGTAATCGGTGGGTACAGCCATTATATCTGGCTTAGGATATCTGTCTTTTGCCTTGCAAAGCCAGAACTGCGTATAAAGGCACCTCCGGTGGAAATGAGCAATTGAACATCCGAAAGAGAAGAAAAGAAAGGAGAAAAAAAGAGAGTGGGTGAAAGGAATAAAACCCTTGAACATCCTCGTGTTTCAAGTTTCCGATGTAATGAATCGACAATCGCTTTGGTCACCTTTTGAACCTATGTGCTATGCATGCATATGTCCTAGGAACTATGCAAACGCGATGTTCACCCATGGATTGATGGAGTAGAAAACGCATCAGGTTAGTTGTTAGCATAGCCTGACAGGAGGTTTACAGTCTGTGCACACTTCCATCAATGCACAGTGTGTACTAATATTAATCTATTGCACCAGGAGACGGCTGGCTCGAAATCGGTGACAGAAACGAGCGTAAGGTCAAATTAAATTAGCCAGGATAAAAGATGTCCCGCCGGTCTATTTGCGACAGAACTGATGTCACGCTAGTGGAAGCAATGTGATTAACTTGAAAACCTCCTCGAAACTCACCCCATGGAGCCCGATGATTGCAAAAAACCGTTGCTTTTCGTCTTTTGATAACTAGGCACCCTGATGACTCAGCAACTCACCTTGACTAGTTAACTAGTTAACTCTTTCCAACGTGTAAGTACCACCATGGCACCAACTACGACGACAGCAGCCGGCTCGCGATTTCTCGCATTATTACCATTTTTTGCTCTAAATTACTCTTGATTCCTGGAGTCCTGGACGATCTGCTGCATTGTGGCTCTCCAGAGCTGCAAGAGTATCAATTCCAACACGAGGCTGCTGAGCTACCTCAGTTTGTGATACATGTACAGTACTAACGTCCAACGAAAACTGCAACCCAGTACTTTGCCGCCAATTGCTTTGGAACAGCTGTAAATAAATATGATGTTCAATACGGTCATTCCCTCGTGGCTGGAGATGATTTCTTCCCGTTCGTTAACTTGACTGATTTGAACATTGTTAGAAAATCCATGTGTTGGGGACCGAGTCACATCCATGTATGAAATCATGTATGGTGTATTTTCCCGATTTAGCCATGCATGCACATATTAGTGACTGATAAAAAATATCCCGTACGGACTCTTGAGATTGGGCTTCGTGCCTCATCTATTGGTTCCCAACTATAGAGTTACCTACTGAGCAGAACAAACATAAGGCGAAAATTGGTATCCTCGCACACTCAGGATGCGTGCCGTCATTTATTATCCAAGAGGAACATGACATGATTCAATCATTATGCTTTTATAGAAAGAAGCATTCCCGCGCAATTCCCGCGCAATTCCCGCGCAGAAATACTCTCCCGTTGTGGAGATGATGCCAAATATGGCTTATAATTGGCACAGTGAATGCTCCGCAGTTTGTTTTGTCATTGGAAACGATTCTGAGGACTTTTCACACCCCCAAGAAAATGCATTTCACCACTTATTTATCCTCCGTCTTGAGGGGCATGTTCAGGTATATAAAATGTACTGAGGATGTCATTATTGTTGTCAATACCAATGTGCTGTCTGGATCTAATCTCCTTATGGCCCAAAACGATGTTACACATGATGGGATTGGATTGTACGACATGAATAAACCTCGATCTCGTCTTTCGGTTCTTCCGCAGTTAAGATATCCCATACACCACAAATATCATATTGTTTAAGAATAAGCGTTGGCAACCGTTGGCAACCATGGCCCAGATCTCGCCATTCGATATCCCATTTGATAAACTCCCAAACCCTCGCCAGGTGTGGGTAGGCGCACCAGGGAGCCTGGAAGAGGGCCTAGGGAAAATTTCCCTTTTGACCCCAGAAGTCGTCGCCGAAGCAGCTGCAGAAATCAAAACGGGAGTGCGGGTGACCCTTGGTTGGGAGATGACGAAACTTGAACTGGCGAATCTAAATCGACAACCTTGCCAGCATCATATCATCTCCCTTCTGAATGGTCTTGCGTTTGACGATGTTTACATCATGAACCCTCGTGCGTTACCTGACAATTATCCTATCTTTGTTAAAACAGCCATTTCATTAACAGTTGATTTAGAACAAAGCAGCCAGTGGGACGGGCTACGTCATTTCTCGCAACCCGTACCTGCTACCGATGGAAAGTCTGCGGAACGAGTATTCTATGGGGGAACCACTGCTAGTGAAATACTTAATCGATCAAACGATCGCATCGGGATGCAATACTGGGCTCGTCAAGGAATTACAGGTCCGTTTATCCTTCATATTTGCTTCTATGAAGCAGCATTGTGGTGCTCGCAAAATCGTGCTAATCTACCTTTAATCATCCTTTCCTCACAGGCCGCGGAGTTCTTATTGACTACGCATCCTATGCCGCAAAAAGAGGAATTAAATATAGCACTTTTTCCACTCATCAAATCCGCCTATCGGATATCTTAGAGATTTCTGCCGATTGTAACCTGACGTTTAAACGTGGAGATATTCTATTCATCAGGATCGGAGTGACAAATGAGTGGGACAATGTCATGACTGATGACCAAAAACGGGCGTACTCGGTAAATCCGAAGCCAGAACATGCGGGCGTTGAAGCTACAACTGAATGCTCCGTTGGCTTTGGGACACGGGATTCTCCGCCGTTGCAGGCGATGCTGTCAGCTGGGAGGTAAATGCGTTGCTGACCGATAACAGACCTACAGTGGCTTCTCCATAAATATGAATAAATTTATGTAAAAACTCTTAGCTGACAAAGTTGTTTTTTCTTTTTCCAGGTGTATCCTCCACAGAACCCAGATATCTTCCTACACGAGTATTTACTTGCAGGTTGGGGAGTTCCAATAGGTAAGCAAGCCGGGGATCTCTGATCTACAAGTCGACCCCCCTTCACTTGCTTTCGATCGTCTCTAATTTTTTTTGTGGAGATCCTTTTCTTACCGCGTTTTAGGGGAACTTTTCGACCTCGAAACACTCTCGCACACCTGCCAAGAACTGGGCAGATGGACATTCTTCCTTTCGTCAGTTCCTCTCAATATGCCTGGTGGTGTTTCTTCGCCACCCAATGCTATCGCGATTTTCTGATCGGATTGTTTAAATGAGCATCCTCGATGGATTTGTTTCATAACTTTATACCGAAACACGTCGTACGGAAACGGAGAATAACCTAAATCCGACAAGCTTTCGCCTTAACCCCTCCTTCCCCCCTTTATTGGAATTCTCTTTTACAATATCCGCTATTCTTTTGAGACCTCTTCACCTTATCGATCTGCATCATCTAAAAAACTATTTTGGATTGTATTTCCCCAAGATTAGTGCCTACCGACAAACGATTTGAACTCTTTGAGATTAGTTTCGGAAATGGACAATGATATCAGTCTTTTGATTTTTACCCCTACTAGTTGATTTGACAATTTATATCACACAGTAGTCACTCCCTCCGTGTCTCCCACCTCCTCTCCATCAGAAACCAAAAAAATCTTCCAATCGCACCTCCTCAATATTGAGCGAGCAGATAATATACCAATTACATACACCCTTACTCTCTAACGATTGCTAGACACAGACTCTGCAAATCGCCAACCCGACGTATGACCTCACTCTGCCCTCCACCATCATCTCTAATCATTTACCAACGCGTGTGCAGGTGTCTATCAGCATTCAATAATGTACTGTACGAAGCGTAGGCCCCCTACCTTTTGGTCCACCACACAGGACACGCTTATTATGATCGAGTACTGCTTTTGACAAACGCTGAAAAATATGTAATAATTTCTCTACTTAAAAACAACCCACCTATCACCGGAAATCCAGCTCCAGTATGTAGGGAATGAAGGCCCGCCTTCAATATCTCTATCCCTTTGCGCTGAAACATACCCTTTTTGGAACATGAACTGTATATACACGACTGAAAAAAAAGGAGGAGAAGCTGGTTCCACAAGAATAAACCCAAAAACTATCAAAACATAGCTAGTTTATGGGAATTATAATGCATGTACTCTATAGTCATACATACGCAGCACATGCGTAGTAACGTACGACTTGTTTTCCCCCGCACTAGCCCAACGGTTACAGAGCACAAATACATGATGCATTTTCAATCCAGACTAGCTGGGCTGGTTTATCCCACAAGCTTCGGGATGAGGGCCGGACTGGATTTATATATCTGCCAGGGTTTGATGCCAAGTATCGTGAAATCGCAACCAATTCCCTCCGGAGAGATATGTCAGGGCCCTCAGTGGAGGCATGTAGCTGTGCTGTACATTTAAATAGCATTGCAATGACAGAGCTGGAAGATATGGCTTTTTTATAGAAGAGAGAAAGATTGCCCCATTTATAGAGTGCGTCGGTTGTTTTGAAGACCATTTCCCTGTAATAAGAACGGATATGTACATGGTAACTAAGGCCATCTTCACCACCAGATGAGGGGATTTTGTTCATATTGCATGCAGAAGGGAAGGTCGTTGGAATATTATAGACACGCATGACATATGGTATATGTGATGTTATGTATGAATGCTGTCAGTTGACATTTCAAGTCGGCAGCGAGAGAGATACTTAGGATTTCGTAATTTGCCAGATGAGTTAACACAGTTTTCCTGTCAGTTAGCTTTGTTGTGTTAGCAAAATATCCCCATCCGCTTGAAATCTTGTCAGGGGCCAATTCATAAACAACTCCTTAACACAGATAAATACAGCCTAGGACACCTCCATAATCAGTCCATTTTATAACCAGCCCTCATAACCAAGGACTACCCAATGTCACCGAAGAAGCAACTTCATAGGTGGTTTGCCATAGTACGTGCTTCACCATAGTTGCAGTACTTCCCGGAGTTCCCGAGAGCTCGATAATTCCGTACCCAAAGCGGCCAAAGCCTGCCCGCGCGGGACCTGCACTATAACGGGAGCAGTGCCGATTCTGTACCTCAACCCTCTCGGTCCTAGCATTTTGTATCTCATAGTAGTTGCTCTGCGGGCCCTTGTACACCCTACTCCTTTCGCCGTATTTCACCCACCTCTGCATACAGGGCGCGAAGGTAAATTGGCGGTTCCTTGGCTGCTGGCAAAATTAAGGTCGCTCCGTTATAGTTCATGTCACACATCACTGATCTAAAACACGCTCGAGCCACTGAATCCTTAATCGGCCCTTCGAGGTAGAGAGAAATCGAGTCAAAGGCGGGATTGCCCAGAAAATATAACTTTAGCCCATAGTCTCACGGACACACAGGATAAGGGAGACGAAATGTGTAGCTATCCATCAATGCCATCGGATTGGGGACAAAACGCAGGGTCACTTCTCGTTCAGTCCCAATACATCGACAAAAAATCACAGGGTTCCCCTTTGGCGCAACCCAGCACAAGAGGTAACACACTGCTAAACCATCTGTGTAGTTGAACGTAGCTCACGGCCAAATTCGGTCACATCGATTCAACTGGGAAAGCAACGACAGAAAGTAAACAAGATATGTCAACTTTGATGTATTGATCCACGCATCCAGACTCTGGTGCTCTACTATATCTTTTTATCTATTTGAACAGATACAGAAAGGTCAGATGGAGTCGCTCTACAGGAGATACATACCTGCATCAGCCCTAATGATAAAAGCTTCTGTTAAATTTTGAGTTTTTTTCTCATTCGGTGAGCGTGTCACACACACAGCTATCGAAACGCTATGTTCTCCTCCTTTTGGACGTAAGATAAGAAGGAGACGGCTTCACGCCCCATGTCCTCCAAACACGACAGAGAAATGCCTTTTTCCTTTCCATTCCCGCGTTGGCAAACATAACCGCTGATAATAAAATTGTGGGATCAATATCGGAATTTTTGTTAGGCGTCGACGGACACTGGACCGGATGTGGTTAAAAGAGGAGTAAGAGAGATCCGCAAAAAGACATCACACTGTTTCAACGACAAATATCAACCAAACGGAAACGAAAAGACCTTGATATTTATCATCTTTTCCGACGGGAAAATCTCTCTTCATCCCCCTACCCGTCCATCCAATCCTACCGCTCCCCTTGTCCCCTCGCTTTTCTATTTCCTTTTCTAGTTCGTTTGTTGAGATTTCATGACTTTTCTGATTCAAAAGTATATGGTTTTGATTTGCGAGTCATCGAAAAGCATTTTTGATTTTCGTCATTCGCTTGACTCTGTTTGCTGAAGCGGGGGGAAAGAAAAGAAGAAGGGGAAGAGTAAGAAGGGGAAGACGTTGAAGAAGAGATAGCGTGAGGTATTTTCATATTCATTAGAGGCGAAACTATGGCATCCGCGGCCGCTCAAACAGAGGCAGCTCTGACGCCTCCATCGGGCATCGAGTCCAACTTCGACGGGCCGGGAGAGGCATTGCATATGTGGAATCTTATCACACAGGGTCTCTGCATCTCCTTAACGTCGATAATTTTCTTGTTGAGGATGTATGTCCGGGTTTGTGTTAATAGGGGGTTCGGAAGGGAAGATTGTAAGTTATATATGCTGGTCCGGACATTGTCTCCCCTTCATCATTTGTTCCAAGGACAAGAGCAGGAGCTAACACATGCAAAAAGGGTGTTGTTCGCTTGCTTGGGTTTGTGCATCCAACTTTGTCTGTGCATCTGCTGAGGCAATATGGCTGACTTGCCGCTTTAGTTTCTCGGAATTGGTTATTCCATCATTGCAATTTTGAGTTCGTCTCCCTTGAAGTATGGCGCATTGCTTAACTCATCCAATGCACTGACTGATCCCCTTGTAGTGGGCAAATATGGTGGTGGGTATCACCAATGGGATGTCCCAAAGGCAGATCTTGTCCCGTTCAATAAGGTGCGTAAAAAAAAAGAATTGGATAAATAGTATCATCTGTCATTGTGCAGAACACAGATGCTAAAGATATGAACTGCTCATCAATTGAGTCCAACACAACAGACCGTGTACGGGACCATGGTCATATACGGACCAGCCGCATTTCTCACGAAGGCATCCATCCTCCTAATCCTAACCCGAGTTTTCGCGCCTTACCGCAAAACGGTAAGGTTCATATATGTATACTTTGGGGTACTGCTCGCGTATTATGTTCCCGCGATCATCGTTAAAATCCGCATCTGTATGCCCATATCCCACTTTTGGATGGGTCAGGCTTCGAATGGGTCATGCTTGGATGAACGAGCCATTATTCTAGCTGATGCAATTATCAGTGTCGTGAGCGACTTGACAATTTTGGTCTTGCCGCTTCTTTTGACCCATTCGCTGCAGATGTCTCTTAAGAAGAAAATCCGCGTCATTGGCATTTTGGGGGCAGGTGGTTTGGCTTGTGCATCGAGCATTGTGAGGCTGGTTTTGATAGTCCAGAAGGGGAATGCCAAAGATCAGACTTATGTGTTCATGCAAATCAACCTTTGGGGGTAAGATATTAAACCGCAACCCTTTAATATCACTTTTATGAAGCTAAAGAGAAATTAATACACACAGGAACGCGGAGGTGAGCATTGGGATAATCTGCGCCTGTCTCCCGTCGCTCGCCGCGTTACTCAACCGCGTATCGAACGAATACATGTCGCGAAATGGCAGCAGGAGCTATGACTGCGAGCTGGCCGGAACGGACACACTGACAGGGTCCAGCTCCAAAATTGGGTCCCAAGGCAGCTTTAATGATGCAGGGTCCGACCAAGAAATCCTAGCCGCACATGCACAGCCAGACTTGAAGGTTGAGACTGCAATCCGAGCTGACGAGCCAGGCACTAAGCATTCCCACAACCACGGGCTTCACTCCTTCACTGGCCATGGGATCATGAAAACGGTTGATGTTTCGCATACAATCACCACTAAGGAATGAATTTGAGTCACGGACTGTGTGGGATGTTGAAAGGGTGTTTCACTTAGATATCACCTATGTAGTTGTGATTGATAAACGAGAAGTTGACAGACATTCGGCGAATTTATTTAATACGAGCGTATGAATCTAAAACCATTACATGCCTAATTTTAATTTTACCATGACGTAATTTATTCCGAAAGAGTGGTAAGGGCGGTAAGAGTACTCCGTATGGCTGGCAGAATACCAACTAGGGTTGCTGCTCCCTGGAAATCATAGAGCATCAACATCACCACCACCACCATTTACACCGCTCCTCCTCTGAGAATCCTCGACGACGAAAGCTCCGTTTCGTCTTTATCCTCAGCTCTTTTGCGAACACAATCAACAACTACGAATACTCATTTTCGCTCACCCGACGCGTCGTGCTCTCGCTCTTCAGCTACCTATGACGTCTTCAAGCACCCCTGTGAAGCACTCGGACACCGCCGAAATGCTTCTCATTTCGCCGATCATAGTTACTCCAAATGGCCAGCCTGTTTCGACTCCCTCCCCTAACAGAAAACGCAAAATCACGCCATCCAGCGAAGAATCATCTGCCAAAGAATCGCTGTCATTACTAGTCCCACTAGGAAGCAGAGGGCGGATACTGTTCAGCGGTCAAGCGTCCCGAATCCTCTTGGATGGCCAACATCTGCCCCTCAAGCTCGTATTGGTAAGTATAAGCCTCGGCACATCCCACTCATTAAGAGGAATAACGCTGATGGTTTTATTGTCTTAGATGAAAGACAAACATTTTTTACGAATCCTCTGTTGCAACGCGAGTTATCATCCCAAAAACAAGCTCCCCCACCACCACTGCAACATATTATCCTCCCCTTCGACCTCCGAGAAAACCCAGATGCATTTTATAATGAAGAAAATAGAAATATCTTATCTAGCATCTTTCCGGAAACTTACGGTTTAGCCATGGATAGCATGTTTCTTTGTCTTCCTTCAAACCAAAATGCCCCCCCAAGCCCTGGCCAAGAACAATAGCGGGAGTTCCAGTCTGTTTCTCACCAGAAATAGGTCCCCAGCATATACCCCGGCCAATTGGAATTCCTGCTTACGTGAAGAACCCGTCGATTTCTAAAGATCTAAATGGTCGAGGCATGCAGGACTGGGAGCCTCTTTTTATCAGCATCAAGACTTACTTTCAGGAACAAGGCATTTCGATCACCGAGGTCATGTACTTGAAAAGTCATGTCATCATCGTACTTGAACGTCGCAATACTGACCCCACGAAGCTGCTAAGTGGGGCTGCAAACATTAGGTGTTTTTACATCTATGACGATGAGATAGGACGACCTGCAAGTCTTCCAGCTTGCCGCCTCACGGACCCAACCCCAAATAACCCCGATAATAATGAGTACAGTACTCTTCAACCTGGGCTCAGGGTAACATCGGACTACTTGCCAAGCACGCCAGGCACGTTTCTGTCAACAACAGCCGGGGTTCTCGTGAGGGATGCTGTTGGGAACGAGTTCATGACGGTCGCGTCTCATGGTTTCCCGGACGAATGCGGCCTCATAGTCAACCATCCACTTCCTAGCGGGCGCGATATCGGTGATCGGTGAACTGATTATGGAAGTCCAACATACAGATGTCGCCCTTGTAAAATTGCGAGAGACTGAAAAGTTTTCTAATGTTACATTCCAGAATTCTATATTAGAGTCTATTCAGCTTAAACGCTTCGCCAGCGCCAAGGTTCCCCCAGAAGGAAATACTATCTATTTAGACTCACCCGACACGGGCTGTGTATTGGGTAACTTGTTAATAACTTCATTTCAACGAGTCCCTATTGACGATTCTTTTCAGCCAAACCAGCACTGGGTATTTACGATTTGGAACTATATGGGGCAGGACATGTCAAGCACCCTCCCAGAATGGATATGTGGAAGTGCTATCTGGAATGGGGATGGGGACGTCCTTGGTTTTTTTTAAATATGCCCCAAAAGCTGGGGTAATGAAGGATTGGTGTGCTGGGATTGCGGCAGATGAGCTTATCCACAAAGGGTACACACTTGTTGATACGACGGACAGGCAGGAATTGCTAAAGCAAGAATGATTTTTCTTTTTTTTTCTTTTCAGTTCATGTCATTGTAGAGTATTTAATATCGCGCTGTAGGGCAGGGAGGCCTCGGCATCTCCGGGGGCATTAACGAAAGGGTACAGGCTCCAATAACAGCTGCTGCTGTTATTGTGTGTGATCTTTTTGATCTGGTGGTTAAGAGCCTGCCCGAGCCTGGCGCCATCACAACTAATATTGAAATGCACTGTAGTTTTTATGTGTTCGCTTTCTGCTACATTCTCTTCTTTCTCTAGTATATTAACCTACATTTCCTTCTTCAATCTTTTCATTTTCTTTTATTAAATATCCAGCTAATCTGTTTTCCACCCCCGCCACCTCTCCTCCTCCTTCCTCCCCATTTGCAATCTGTAGATATATCGCAGTAGAGGAAATAGTAACTGCTGTGGCATGACAACCAGGTAGGAGTGATACAATACAAAAGTACAGGTATAAACACAAGAGTCTGAGCAATCCCAAGCAACTGATAGCTAAAACGTACCAGCATCCAAAACCATCGATGAAGGGACATAGCTTGTAAAAGTATAAATAGACTTTTGCATTCCTTCATTCTTTACTGTGGACAGCCGGACAAACCTTCTCTCTCGTAGTGCCTCTTGGCTGTGCAGAGAGCCGGAAACGAGAATTCTCGATCCATACTCCTCCCCCTTATTTTTTACGTATTTATTATTCTTAAGGGGAGGAAAAAAAGCCCTTCTAGCGAGGGAGTTCAAATCCACCATATCCATAAGGCTTACTGTGTCCGCAGCACATGAACGCAGGACGCAGAACGCTACCAGATTTGCAGAGTCCACGCATTTGATAGAATTATCAACCCGGAAGTTTATCCCACCAGGGATGAGAGGGCCCACTTGGCAGCGGTTGGCGCGCGCCGAAAGCGACTGGTTTCATCAGTTGTTCCCAACTCCCAATCACAGGATTCAACGGGAGATGTCATCCAGGGCCAAGGTGAGGGTTGTCTCGACGGTGGTTGGCTGGTACCTGAACTGCAATGCAACAAATCTTGAGGGGACGTGGAGTCTCCTTGTTCCTCGCTGCCAGCCGCGGGTCGCTCCGGTGGAGAGTTCTGCTCATGCCTTGGGACAAAGCATGCATCCTTGCATTTTATTTCTTTATTTCCCTTCTTTTCCCCTTCTGCCAGGGAGGCGAAAAAAAAAGCAGGGAATCTGTGAACGAATGGGAAAAGCCGCCCGCTCATTCGCGGAACAAGGCAGATATTAGGATCAATCCTGATGCTCGACAATCACGTCCGGTCGCAAATCATGGCAACGGCAGTGACACCAACCTTGGAACGATCCTCCTTGGGACCGCTGGAGACCCATAACGGCTTGGGGAGCGAAGCAGATCGCAGACGATGGGAATGATACTAGTAAACGTTGTGAGTCTCATTGATGATAGTTATCAGGCTCCTGAGAACGGGAATGATATCCCAAGCAGCGTTGAGAAACCCGAGGAAATATAAAAAGTGCCCGCTTGATAATTAGAACCCTTCCGCCGGTGCTTGGATCTTGTTTCATCCCCCTTCCTGCTGACAGCGTGTGAGACTGGGGGGCTCTGGCCGCTGTGCACTAAAACCGTACCACTAATGGGGATGGATAGGGAGCCCTTCCTACCCACTGTGCCCAGGTGCCTAGCGACACTAAGAGGTTAGCGGTCTCAATCTGAAATTCCCGTGCAAATCAGTTGGCTCGACTGAGGGCGCTTGTTCCCCTGGTGGACGAAGGGGAAATTGGCCATCTTTCTGCGCCGTCTCTTGTCGCTATCTCTACCGTGTCTTTTCTTCCCTCCTCAACCTTCACTCCCTTTTCACCACTCCCCCAAGGGCTGCATCTGCTAGGAGTCTTTGGAAGACAGCTAGGTGAAGCTATTCATTCTTTTGCCTTCGTGCATCTACCGCTTCAAGGAGGCTGTAATTTTGTCGTTCGTTTCAGTCGTCGATTCTGCAATCTCCTCCCCTCACGAATAAATACTCCGTATCAAATATCCAATCCACCACCCCGTTGCCTGGAATTCCAAGTGAAGTGAAACAACTACCCTTATTCTTACCCAGTTGAGGAGTGTATAGACAAAGCAACAGAATAGATAGTAGACGGGCTCCACATCGCCACTGGATTGCGGTCCATTCACCGAGAAACCAAACACAAACAACATCCACTGTTCTTTCACTATAACAGGTGTCGGGTGTTTGATGTACTAATTAACATCCATCAGATTCCCCCAGTTGGATGACTTGTTAGCCGCTCACTCCTTTGACCAATCTATCAACTCGTTCGTTTTCCTTATCGCTTCTTCTGCCACTCCTTACTGTTTCACCCCCGAGGGATATTGAGATTGCAGGCTTCCAATCGATCCTCCACTTTCATTATATACGTCTGGACTTATTCAAAAACTATACATCAATATTTCGGAGTCCGGACTCTAATACCATAAGCTACACACGACATATAAGGATCTATATATACGCCAAAGATGCAATTGAGCATCATTTTCACCGCAGTTTTTGCGGCGACCATCTCCCCGGCTTTGGCATTCTGGCGTCTGCCATGTCGGGGCCGTCTAGGCGTTGCCCGCCTCGATCCGCTGGTCAATCCCGGCGCCGTCTCTTCTCACGCACACGTTATCCACGGTGCTGGCAGTATGTACTGATATAGAAAACTCCACGTTTGGTGGAAAGTCAATACTAACTGCCTAACAAATAGACTTCGGAAAGAGTGTCACCGTCGATGAACTGTTGGCGTCTGACTGCACTTCCTGTGCAGTCAAACAGGATAAATCCATTTATTGGACTCCGGCAACCTACTTCAGACACTCCAATGGAGACACAGAGCTGGTTCCCCAAGTTGGGGGCATGCTTGTGTAAGTTTCAAAGCACTACAACACCTACAAGCTACGATTTCTTTGAACCATGTCTCCTAATACCTCCATATATTACAGCTACTATCTGCAACGCGGAGAAAACGTGCAGGCCTTCCCAAAAGGTTTCCGTATGCTGGCCGGAGACCCTTTCCAACGCAATTTTACCTGGCCAGTTCCGGACCCCCCCAAGTCATCCTGGAGTGGTCCTGAAACATCGCAGTTTGCCCTCTCCCAAAAAGCCATTGGGTTTAACTGCCTGAACTACCACGCGACGCCAGAGCCTACCCTCTTCCGTCACACTCTGCCGAAAAAAAGTGAAATCGACGCCAATTGCCCTGATGGCCTCCGCATGGAGATGATGTTCCCATCCTGCTGGAACGGCAAGGATCTCGACAGTCCAGACCACAAATCCCACATGGCCTACCCCAATCTGGTCGAAGACGGTGTCTGCCCCAAGGGCTTTGAGACCCGCGTCGTATCGCTCCTTTTCGAGACCATCTGGGACACCGCCAAATTCAAGGGCGTCGAGGGTGAATTCGTTCTCGCCAACGGCGACCCTCAGGGAAGTGGCTACCATGCCGATTTCATTGAAGCCTGGGAGCCCGGCTTCCTCAGCAAAGCTGTGAAAACCTGCACAAATCTCTCCGGCCGTGTCGAAGATTGCCCCCTGTTCGATCTTCAATCCCAGGCGGACCAGAACAAATGCAAGCTCAAGATGCCCTCCGAACTCGAAAATGAAGACTGCTCGTTCGTCAAAGGCGGCCTTCCAGGAGCCGTTGAGATTCTTGCTGGCCCTGCCTACGCCAAGATTCCCAAAGTCAAGATCCCCGAAATCCAAATCCCCGAGGTCAACGCTCCAGACAACAAAGCAGCCGCCGGCCCAGCACCAGCACCACCACCACCCCCTCCGCCTCCTCCCCCTCCGCCTCCATCGCCAGCTCCACCAGCCCCCTCTCCTCCTCCCCCCGTCAAACACACCACAGCCCCAGCTCCAGCCCCTGGGCAATTCTTCGCCCCAGAAGAGTACGGAAATGCCACCCCCATCTCCACGAGCACTTACACCGAGGGCAACGTCGTTTACGAGATTGTCATCATGGAAGAGAAGGTTACGACTACTATTGAACTTCCTGCCGGTGCCACATCGCCTGCTGGAGCCAAGGTTGTTCGAAAGGTCCATAAGCGTCATGGGCACGGACATTTGCATTAGAAAATGGGGTGTGGGATGTGGGGTGTCTGTCTGAACTGCTTTCCATTGATTATCTACTATCTATTTTTATTTTTATTTTTTTAATTTTTCATATCGTATGCTACGCGAGGGAGGTATGGCCAGTAAACTGTTGGTGTGTCCTGTCCTGGTTAGGGGTCGGAGTAAGGAAGAGCTAGCAAAGAGATGAGGAGGAGAGGGGAATTCTTTTATGTATATTTTCTTCGCTATTTATCTCAAAGTTAACTAGCCATCTGTGAAAATGTTGATAGTGATATAGTATTATCGCTCGCTCTTCCTCCCCCTTTTTTTCCCCCCTAACTCGTCTGTTCCTCCTTACCTTCTTCCTTTTTAGTATCAAATATATATTTATCATATCCCTCTCGGGAAGAGTTATCGATTAATTATTGTAAAGAAAAAAAAATAAAAAATGAGCAGACTTGCTGGTGGCACAGAGAATACAGGCAATACTAACAACTAAGCAAATGTAGAAGTACGTACTCCGTACTATCCCTTCAATCTTCAATACGATGAGCATAGCCACCATTCAATCAAAACATCCCCCCCTCCCCAACCACCTGGAAAGTCAGCAAAATGAAAACCTCCCTAAATCAACAACCCATCCCAAACACACACACACACACACACACACACACACACACACACACACACACACACACAGCCTCCTAACATACATAAACCGCAGAAAAATCCAACCCGCACCAATCTAAATACACTTGCCCCCATCAACAATCATATCCGTCCCATTGATGAACGCCCCCTCCTCGCTGCCCAGATACACACACATATTCGCCACGTCATCGGGCTCCGTCAAACGGCCCAGCGGCACGTTGGAGATAAACTTGGCCCGGTTCTCGGGGGTGTCCGGCACGCCCACAAACATCTCGAACAGGCCCGTGCCGGAGAGCAGGGGGCAGACGTTGTTGACGCGGATCTGGTTCGGGCCGTACTCGGCTGCGAGACCTTTTGTTACCTGTGTGTATATATATATATATAGGGGGGGAGGGGGAGTTCTTGGTTTTAGTTAAACTGGTTCTGTATTTGTTTGCAGTGGATGGAGATGGAGGGGAGAGGGCTAAGAGGGAAAGGGGATAGGAGGGAAAGGAGGGATTAAATACTGACATTCGAAACGGCGCCTTTGGAAGCATTGTACCACACCAGGCCTGGCCGGGGTCGAGAGGCACCGGTGGAGGAGATGTTGATGATGGAACCGCCCTTGCCCTGTTCGAGAAGCTTGGGGATGAAGGCTTTGGAGGCGTGGAAGATGCCTTTTACGTTGACGTCGAAGACGCGTTGGAATTCTTCTATTGTCACTTCCATTGAGGGCTGTGGGATGCGCAGAAGGGGTTTATATGTTAGTCTTTTCAAGTGTGTGAATGGCCATCCGTTTGGTATGGCATGCGTTGGGGGCAATAAGCATATTGGGATGTTTCAGTCTTTTAGTCTCTCTCCTCAATTCCCATCGTCAAAAAGTAGGAGGAGAGGCGTATATACATATCTGAGCTCATATATATATATATATATACCATGTTTCGTAAACTCACCTTATTTCTATAGGTCGTGCCGGCATTATTCACCAGGATATCCACTTGGCCAAACTTGCTCGCAGTCTGGTCAACCACAGCTTTCCAGTCCTCTTCCTTGGTCACATCCATTTTCATAAATGCAATGCTCGCTGGGTTTTCAGAGGCTACTTTCTCGCCCCCGACAACGTTGATATCACCAACGACCACCTTTGCACCCTCTTGTGCATAGCGTCTGGCAATTGCGGCGCCAAAGCCGGAGCCACCACCTGTTAGTGCTCGTTAGAGGGTCTGTTAGCTATGTGTAAAGCTAAATCGATTTGGAAATAAAGGATGTGAGGTGATGCGATTCAACATGGCATGCGCATACCGGTGACTATGGCAACTTTGCCCTCTAGACGGGGAGTCATTTGTGACAAGGGGAATCGGTAAGTCGGCAGAGGTTACTGAGGATCAGTGGAAATGGGAATCAAGGTGGTAGGTAAGATTGTGGAAGATACCAGCCGTGAGGATATTATCTTTTTTGTTCGCTGCTTCTCCTCTTTAAACCGTCCGGCTGAAGTCACTTCAACACGCTGAATGTGACTCCCGTGAGAGTAGTCAGAATTGAATTATCGATAGCTCAATTGCGGCGCAAGGATATTCAAAAGTAGCTATTACAGCGGGTGGGAATGTATTTGCCTGGGATTTTTATTTTTATGTTTGTTTCAACTTCTGTCTCGCCGAACTGCTCTTTGCTCTTCGGCATGATCGGAGGGGTGAAGTTCTAGCCTAACTAACTAGCGGGGCTCTCTACATCATTAAGTTTATCTAGCTAGCCCTGGGCTAAACTTCGTTCACGCAACACAACCTTGGAATCCTCCCGACATCAGGCTTCGCGGCATTCCCCCACGGCTAAGGGATCAACTACCGACGCCAGAGTCTGCAGGGCTCCCCGATGTCGGCTGTCGGCTGTCGGCTGTCGGCTGGCCTTTGGCGTCCGGCAAACATCGGGTTTCGGCTAAGCGACTCGGTAACTCCGGCCAATCGCCAGCCTTGCTGTGGGAAAAGTACTTAGTGTTGTTGGTCATTGCCACGGAGATGTGAGGTAGATATCCAGCCCTTACAACGCGAGGACGGTAATTATTCTTCCAACAGGATATCTATCTATCTACCTATATATATATAGCAGTAACCCCATGCCTCTTCACCCGTCTTCCAGACAATCACGGAACCCAACATGATGCACTCCCGCCCGCGATTCTTGGCACATTTAAGTTCTGACTCGTCTGTATGGTTGATCCGGATATCTATGATCGTTGTTGGACGATCCGCGATGCCTTGGTTGGCTTTGATGGGCAATGGGCAATGGGTTTCCCATATAACTAAAGGTAACAGGTTACGCGATAAGAAATCGATGCCACTGCGACCATTGCTATATATAACTTACGTCCTCGCTAACAACTCCTCGGATAAGGACTATTCGAGAAAAGAAGTATCCAAAATTCGTGTCATGGCTAATTAGGCTGCGCATTTGTGTCAACGCATCAACTATTTGAGCGTCCAAATTGCAACCTCAGATAAGAAATAATAATGTCACTTCACGAGCACATTGATATCGTCTCCCATGTGTTCCAGACAGTACTTCATATCGCTGGGATCCATGTATTCCATGGATCTGGACTCTGTTGTGGGGCACTTTTGATGCGTCGGAGCGATGGTTAATCGTCCGAATATTGTCCCAATTACTGAATATCAATATAAACGAATAGATTAGATTCAACTGACTTATCTATCTAGAACTTGATAATTACAGAGAAAAGTCGGCAATATTTATAAGCAAAGGAATGCTCGATTATATGAGAAGAAGAACGTTTCAGAAAGCTTTAAACTTTGCAAAGAATGACTTATATAATGACTGATATTAGTTACGGCAGTGATAACTTACCAAGATAATGTAAAGGTTATCTTCTGACATGATGCCCTTTTTTTTAAGGATTTTCTCTCTTCGCCCGTTTCTTACCTCCTGTGTTAAAAAAAAAAAAGAAAGAAAAGAAAAGAAATTCCCATGCAGGGAACTGTTAGCAAGCTTCTTCCCCTCCTGCAGGCCCCTTTTGCTATATTTTAGTTTCCGAGTTCTTTCATCACAGGAGCTAACTAACTAGTTACAGTTGGCATGAATAACAAGCCTGGCCCCATTGGATAGAAGTCCGAGAAAGTTAGTGGTGGGGCGCAAAATAACTCCCTATGGAAGTCTAGTGCCATCGGTTCCGCCGTCTTCTGCATACATAGTAATATCAAGATTTGGTGGTCGCCAGTATGGTTTCAATGATCATCCATTTCTGTGAATGGATAACAGTGCATAGCGAAACGCACTCACAGCACAGAAAATCCGATTGAAAGCGGAATCCATGAATCTGAGCGAACCAGATCATGCATGGTTCGTAGATGATAATCAACATCGGAGCGCAGGCCAGTCATCCCCTTGCTTTTAACCAAGGGCCGGATACATCTAGGCGGCAACGGAGATATTCTTCAGCTCCTGTTGCCTCACGATTTCCATTGGGCAACGATCAAATCAGGGAATTATCGATTGTAATTCCCATCAGCGCTTTAATACTTTCCTTCCCGTCATTTTTATTCCCGCTCTATTTCCATTGAAACAGGTAGCGATCATGGCGGTGATAGCGACAATCCAAGCACTCACACAGAGTCCATTTATACTTGCGGCTACCAGCCTTTCAATTGTAAGTTGAAAAGTTACTTACTACCTTCCAAGTGGGACAAAGCAAATAGGTAACGCCCCAAGATATATAACTTGCTGTTTCGCTAACGAAAATATTTCAAGGCCATCTTATATCTGATTAGTCGTTTTATTTACAATGTTTTCTTCCATCCTCTCCGCTCATTCCCTGGCCCAACCAGCCATGCGATGAGCCAGATTCCATATATCTACAAAAGCCTTCGCGGGACTCTAGAATTTGACATTCTGGACCTGCACAAGACTTACGGTGACATAGTACGGATCGCCCCTAATGAGCTGGCTATCTCCGGCCCGGGTTCTTGGAAGGATGTCTTGGGAAATCGCAGAAGCGGCGAAGAACAACTGGAAAAATTCCAGCAATATTATCGCCCTACAGGAGGGAAAAAAGCAACCAGCATTATCATTGCAGATCGCGATGATCACAGTCGGCTACGTCGTCAACTTGCCCATGGTTTTTCGGATAAATCAATGAGGGAACAGGAGCCTCTCATTACCCAGCACATAGACCTCTTGGTGAAAAGATTTCATGAACGGGGTGGAGGGGGTTCTAAGCCTTTCGATCTGGCGGAGTGGTATAACTATGCCACGTTCGATGTCATCGGGGATCTGACGTTCGGTGAATCATTTGGATGTCTCGAAAACGCCTACTTCCATCCTTTTGTCAAGCTCATGCTGGCATCAGGGAAGATTGCAGTGTTCTTGCAATGTCTTAGTTTTTTCCCGCTAGCTAAAGAGACCTTCTTAAACTTGATTCCAAGGTCGGCAATGAAAAGTCAGGCGAACGTTGCAAAGGAAAAAATCCTCAGGCGAATGCAACTTGGTAAAGAGCGCCCCGATTTAATCGAGGGACTGCTGAAAAAAAAGGATGAATGGGTAAGTTGTTCTCAGAGGAAGGACAGAAATCATTGTTGCTTGTACCCAATAATATATGACCTTTTGAAAGAAAGAAAGAAACATCCAAATAAAAAATCACCCGACTCTGGAAGGATCAATAATCCCCAGCTCCACAATACTACCCAACTGCCTCCACGCTAACCTGACTTCCCTCTTCATTAGGATATGAGTCTGGATGCGCTCTCAGCAAACGCCAGACTTCTCCTCGTTGGCGGGTCCGAAACTACTGCAACGCTCTTGTGCGGCGTGACATACCTGCTGTTATCGAACCCCCAAACCCTTGAAAGGTTGACAGCAGAGGTCCGCTCAGCCTTCAAAAGCGAGGACGAAATTAACATGAGCTCCGTTAATGACCTCAACTACATGCTTGCATGTCTTGATGAGGCATTGAGAGTGTATCCACCGGTGCCACTCGGGCTACCTCGAGTGGTTCCTAAAGGCGGCTGTGAGATAACTGGGCAATTCATCCCTGAAGATGTATGGGAGTTCATTCCTTTGGCCTAACAACGGAGGGGACGCTGTCCACCTCCTCTCCATCTTCGTATTTAGACTGACGATATATCTATCATACACCGGGCATAGACTGTGGTCGCGGTCCACCACTGGGCAACATATCACACCGAGAAGTACTTCACAGACCCCTTCGCCTACCACCCCGAGCGTTTCTTAGGCGATCCCAAATATGCCAGTGACAAGCGCGATCTGCTCCAACCCTTCCATATTGGACCAAGAAGTTGTCTCGGTCGAAAGTAAGTCTAGCGCATATGAACAACGAGAATACAAAAACTCGATAATGAAATGTTTTCTCAATACCTCCCACAGGTTCCATTACATCCTAGATTTCTTTCCCATCTGTTATTTTCTTTTTTTATCCGAATTTGAAAGAAATCAGACTGATTAAACCGCTGACGACTGGTTATTATTATCCCATATGAGCAGCCTAGCGTATGCGGAAATGCGCCTCATTCTGGCGCGATTAATCTACAACTTTGATATGAGTCTTGCGAAAGAGAGCGCGAACTGGCTGGCAAAGCAGAAAGTGTTCCTCTTTTATACGAAACCGCCGCTGAATGTTTATATGACACCTGTTAATTCAAGGAAATAATCGGTTGAGTTTTTAACGGGCATTTTATGATCGATATGTTGAATTGCTTTCTCTCCTATTGCGTCAAACAGCCGAAAAAAAAAAAAAAAAAAACCATCGGGTTATGAATGGAAACTAAGCACTATCCATCTAGCATAGTTATACATAGCTCTTATTCGAAATATGTTTTCTGCAAGGGCTACCTAATGATTGTCATGATCGTCTCATGTTGGATCTATCTATCTATACATATGCACAGCTTCATCAGCAGCAGCCATATTATCGCCATGCACAAAACTCCATGTCCAGGACTTAATTCATATTTATTTCTGTATTTCCCAATCCTAGTTCTCTCTTTATATATGCACCAATATCTGTAGCACCCCACTATTAGCTTACTGGTGCATGAAGCATATATATAAGCGAGGGATATAATGCAAAACACTAACCACTCCAGAGCAATACATTATCATACTCATACCTCCATATAATAAATAACAAGGAAAAGCTCACAATGGGTATCAGCTATCAACATCTCTAGCTCCCTCATCCCATGGTCCCATGATTTCAACACAACACGGGGGACATATGGAAGGGGGGGTTATAATATATAGGTAATGAGGTTTCAAAGTTCACGATCTCCTGTCCCGTCGCTGGAAAGACGCGCGGACATCATTGGGCATCGTTTCATCCATCATCCACCGCGCCCCCGACGAGAATGGCTCCTACGCCTCCCGGCAAACCTGGTCGTACGCGATCTTGAAGATTCAACAGCAACAACACCAGAATCTGGCACCTGGGTGGCAGTCACGCCGACCCCACGCCTTGCTACCCCTGAAGCGTCTTCGCGGTCCCACTCCCTACCTCTATTCCTGGCTCTAGCATGGTTCAAAGCCGGGTTGAGCAAACTATCCGCCTCACCATCCAATTCCATCTCAACGCATTGGCTTCGGTCCTCCACAACGCCACCCCGGTCGTTCGTCCATTCTTCCTCGGAGGGAACCCGTCTGTCCAATCCACGTGATTTAGCTCTGGTCATTGTTTTGTCCCTTGATTTCTCCTTGCCTTTGGGTTGATTCCTGTCCCTACTGCTAGCGCCAGCTGAAGTCTGTCGGGTGCTGGGTGGTGGCACGTAATCCTGATGCTCTTGTTCAATTTCCCATATTTCAAGTGCCCTTGAGAGTAAAGTTCCCGCAACGCCAGCACCGGCTGCAGCATCGCTGCCACTGGCGCCTAAGACGCGAACTGCCTCATGTAGTGCAGTGACGGCTTGCATAGTCCGTCCTAGTTCAAGTAATACCAGGCCGCGCGCCGTATGTAAAGACCCGGTGAGGCCCCTATCTTCGTAGCCACCGACACTTGTGGAGCCAGCAGATACAAGGCCACCTGCTCCTGCACCAGCGATTGCTGCTGAATATCCAGTTACAGACCCGCCTGCTCCTATTCGAAGGGATTCATCAAACTCGGCAAGTGCTTCTTCAAAATGTCCCAAACGACGTAGAGCATGTCCTAGATTAGCTCTCGTAGCGAGCCATGCCCCTGGCTCACAATTTAATGACGAGGCTAAGGCTAGGGCTTGGCGAAATAATTCGACGGCCCCCTCAAGGTTGTTCTCGTGGTATAAAACGACTCCTAATTCATTAAGTACCAATGGATCGCCACCGGATGGAGGAAGTGATTGAGAAACTGACTCATTAGAAGATGGAATGGTATCAGATAATGAGCCAGAGGACATTGAATAGGCGGCAGACAAATACTCGTGAGCTAGAGACATATTGTTGAGAGCAAGGTGTTGCATTCCTAAAAATAGTTGTGGAAGATGACTTCCTTGGAATAACCTCGCAGCGGTGCTGTATGCTGCAATTGCTTGGTCATGTTCCCCCTCTGCCGCGAATGTGTGGGCAAACCCGATCCAGGCTGGGGCTGAATGAGGGTCCAGAAGGGAGGCCTTGGAGAAAAAGCGCCGAGCTTCAGATATTTTACAAACAGACATATAGTATATACCAATAGCAAGATATGTATATGATTCCTCTGGAACGTTGTCAGCCAGAGAATGAGCAAGCAGAAATAGAGCGTTAGTGGCACCCGTTTCATATAAACAGGCTAGATGGAGGGGGTAAACGGCAGGGGAATGACCAAGGTTATGGCCTTGACTCCCTTGAGAGACGAGCAAAGGGACAGAATCCTCAGATGACGAGAGAATAGAGGATGTAAGAGACAATGCCTCAGGGAATCGACATTGGGTATAGAGGGTTTCTGCACGCGAGAGTAGAAGATCGGGATTATCGGCAAGATTATAATGTGTGGATAGTGTTTCTGTAGCGTAAGAAAGAGCAGACGGGGATGAGTATTTCGATAGGCGAGTGGTATAAAGGAGTTTCGTAAATTCAGCGGCTTCTTGTGCTACTGACGGGTCGGTAGAATAAGTAATGGAGTCGAAATCAATGGATTCTAAGAATTCGAGTTCCTCCGCTGGAGACATAAGGGAATTTTTCATAAGCTGATCGAATGCTTCAAAGCATTGCACATCAATCCGCACAGCATCTTTATAGCAGTCCCTGGCTCGATCGAAAGCGTTTTGTCTCGCAAAGCACAATCCGCGTAGATAGCACATGGCAGCCTCAAACTTGATATTTTTGGCATTCTCCCGTTCTCTCTCTTCACTTCTGTCAATGCGATCGGCTCGAGAAGAAGCGCTTTTGCCATTTCGCAAAGTAACATTGGAGTTCCCGTTCAGATGTTGTAATTTCCGCCGAGTATTGCTGGAGCTGGTTATCAGATGGGTAGGGTTATTGTCACCAAGAATGGTGAGGGCTTGGTCAAATTTGTTTTGCTTGATATAGCAATGAGCTGCCAGATATCTACATGAGGAACTTCGGGCAATCAAATCCTTCTTCGATAATAACGCCAGTGCTCGAGTATAATTGTCGTTTGAGAAATGCACCTGCGCAAGCCAGAAGGCATCGTTGTCACTATCTGGGAATATTGTCAGTCCACAAGGTAAAACATGCTATCGACCTAGGGACTTAGAAGTCTCACTTGTAAGGGCAAGAACTTTGTCGCCTATATAGATAGCTGCGTCATGCTGGCCTTTGTTCAAGGCATCCTGCCGCCAGCTGCGGAGATAAGACTCCATGAAGTGTCAAGCGCGGGACGCCTCAAAACGCAGCGCTCAAGAACCGTGACTCCATCCAGATAAAATAGCGCAATTCACGTGGGCGTATCCCCCAAATGGCTACGGTGTGGAGACCTTTTTTTTGTTTTCAGATGTTGAGCTTGTCGCATCAAACTCGCATTCCACGTTCTTTGCGAGGAAGAGCAATCGAGATGTGGTCTGTGCGTTTGTTGATATCACATGGCGGTATCAGTACGGTAATGTATGTATTTGTGTATTGAGAGCGCATTCAAGAACATATCTGTTTACATACGATTAAAATGAGATTTCTCTTTATTACTTGAATATCGTACTAAAATAATAAAATCAAGGAATGTGTTCATAATTATTTGTACAGCATTCCAGGCGTTTTCCGGGAGAACCGCATTTTGTGAAATGAGCTGCTAACCACGTGATTTTAGAACTCCAGGTGGCGTAGACCACCACTGTTCTTCCACCCTGTGCAACTTCTCTGGACTGCAAAATTCACTTCACTTCAGTGATTCGCCTCCCCATTCAATCAAAGTGATATCGCAGGATATATAACCATACGTTACTCGGTACCCATATCTTTTTCAAGGGAAACATCCATTTAGTTAGACCACCATGTCTGAACGCAAGGTGCTCACGAAATACTACCCCCCGGATTTCGACCCGTCGGTCATAACACGAACACCCAAACACCTACGGGCAACCGGCCCCAAGCTCTTGACAGTCCGCTTAATGGCGCCTTTCAGCCTGAAATGTACAAATTGTGGCGAATACATCTACAAGGGCCGCAAATTCAATGCGCGCAAAGAAACTACAGAGGAGAAATACCTGAATATCCCCATCTATCGCTTCTATATTCGCTGCACTCGCTGCAGCAGTGAAATCACCTTCAAAACTGACCCCAAAAACATGGACTATACGTGCGAACGTGGTGCTAAGCGCAATTTTGAACCTTGGAGGGAAGCTAAGGAAAACGAGGTTAATGAAACAATGGATGAAACGCTGGATAGACTGGAGAGGGAGGAGGGAGAGAGGGAGGAGAGGGAAGAAAAAGATAAAATGATGGAACTGGAGGAGAAGATGCAGGATTCGAAGCGCGAGATGGCTGTAGCAGATGCGTTAGATGAGATTCGGACAAGGAATGCAAGAATTGAGCGGGGAGAGAGAGAGGCCGGCGAGGAGGCGGTGCTACTGAAGGCACAGAGAGAGGCGGAGGAGGCAAAACTTAGGGCCGAAAGAGAGGATGAAGAGGCTGCGAGGAGGGCATTTATGACGGATGGTGGTGAGAGGGTTAAGCGATTAGTGGATGATGAAGCAGATTCGTCGAATGGAAGGACGTTGGCCAACGAGAAGTCCGATATGCCGCCCCCGTCCTTTACGAGAGTCCGAAAACAGAAGAAGCCGTTTAATGCAGGTCTTGGGATTAAGAAGAAGGTCCCCTTGGTTTGATGTTCATTTCCGATCCGTAGTGTTAGCATCTGGTTCCGAGCATTATCTGGGCGTTATCATTGTGGTTGGAACATTTTCATGGGATGCACGGGGCCATATCATACATATATTGGGAGAGTATATGAAATTTTCTTAATATTTTCCGGCCGGTTGGTTTATGAGACATGTATAACATTCATCGAGGAAGTTATATGGAAATTCCATTTGAACATGCAAAATATAAACAAGTAATAAAATAATAAACGATTATTTTCAAGCCTTCAGAGAATAAAAATCATCCAGACCCCTAAGAACGCCAGACAAAGTAATGGCAGAAACTGTGCTTGCTTCCGCCTCCAGATCATCTAGAGTACTCTACATTGCATTTCCAGTAGAAGAGAGGAGGAAAATTAACATGTAACAAAATAACAGAAAGCGAGATTAAAACCAAAGCAGCTAAAAGACAGCTAAAATATTGAGAGGAAACTTTACAAGGACAAAACGTTGAAAAGAGGGGGAAAAACATATAAACATAAAAAGGGAAATTTAGTAGACGGAGAGGGAACCAGCGAATGGTAACATCACAAGTAAGGCATCCATAACGCGTCACTTTGCGCAAGATTCTGGGGATTAACTGCTCTCGAAATAAGATCAATGACAGATTGATTGGCAGGCAAGTTTCCTTCAGGTGGGCTCGCAAGGCTAACAGCTCTATTGACAATAAATTCACTGTTGCTCTGTACCATTTCCCGCAGCTGGGTCTCAATTGTCGAACTGCGCTGTGCGGTTGACCAGAAGATCATTTCGTCGCGGACAAAGATGCTAAGTTGCTGCTCCAGCTCATGCCGTGGCTCAGTAAGGCAGCGGGCGATCGCCATGACTGCGCAGGCAAATATACCCTCGGTGGCCAAGGGGCCCATCAATGTTTGGATGTTTGGCGTAAAGCGGAAAGGTACGTGTTCGGGATTGAAGAATAGGGGCTTGGCAGTATGAATGTTGGGGATCAATTCGGATCCCCAGACATCCCCTGTGGCGCGGGAGATGGAGATCTTGTTAGGGTAGCGATTGGTCATGTGCATGGTGTAAGTCATAAATGCCACTGCGGCATATTGATAGGAGAATTGGCGACGGAAGAGCCAGAAATCAGCAAAATTGGGATATGTTTTCTGGAAGAAATCGAGCAGGATCGTGTTGGGGACCCATTTTTGTTGGATGGCAGAGAAGATTTCCGACCGCAAAACTAAGGATTGTTCAGGTGTGCGCTGTTCATTATGGTTAATAAAGAATTGAGTAAACGAGTGAGACCCAGAATCACTCACATTTTGTTTCATCTCTGCCAGAGACCGCATCTTCTCCATGGTAAACAGCACAGGCTCATCTTTGCCAATACCAGTCCGTCGACAGTGGTCCTCATAAACTCCCTGCAGTGAAATATACGACGGATCATCCTTAACGAGACGTATATGAGGAGCGAGAGGGACCATGAGAGGGAGATGAAAGTAAATATTGCGGCGTCGGCTCTCCTTCCGTTTAGAGAGAATGCCGTTGAAGATCCGGAAGAGTTGCAAAATCCTCTCTTCTCGTCGACAATGGCGGGCAGCAGGATGTTGAACAGCAAAGCAATGCAGGCTGCCGTCGTGACCACGCATTTTCAAACGTCGATGGCAGACACCAATTCCACGCACAAGTTCAACATTCGGCAGGAAGCGATCGATGCGGACAAAGTCTTGGTTTTTATCCTTGTGTTCCAAGTATTGCCCAGGCACTTCAATTTCATCAAACTTGAGGAACTTGAACTCACTGAGGTGAGGAGAGAATGCTTCGAGGGATTGGGTGTGTGGCCGTCGATCAAGCTTTTCTTCAAATTTATCCCGCCACCGTCGTAGTTTGTGGATGTACTCATGCATCGTCGGTTTCTTGACAACGAAATCAGCTTCGAAGGACTTGCGGATATGAGCGGGAAGGATGGTCTCCGCAAAGCGAGTAATGTTGCCTTCCGTCGCTGGTGGAAGCTTGAAGTCTTGTGCATACGAAGCAGGCATCCGGCCAACATAAGCAAGACCATCATTGAGTAATGCGACGATCAGTCTGTATGCATCTTCATCTGGCGGGCATTTGAAGTTCTTGTGGATTTGGTCGACCATTGTTTCCATCGAAAGTGCTAGGAGAGGGAATGCGGTCTTAAGGGTAGCCATGACATCTTCTGCGTATTCCCATGGTTTCTTAAGTGGCTCTTTTTGCGCAGTATCTGGGTCGGGTTTTTGCTGCAAGGAGTTCGGTGCACCTGATTGTCCAAGTAGCCCTGGTTGCCCGGCTTGCCCCGGCTGTCCCATTGGTCGGGGTTGGCCAGCTTGGCCAAGATGAGGCTGTCGAGGAGAAGCCTGTGCATCCGCTGCACCATTAGATGTAGTACCATCGGACCCCGCCGTTCCAGGCTTCGACTCTGGTGAGCTATCCTTGATGTTTACGCTAGGGGATGCTTGCTGCTGTTTCGCACGGTTGAGTCTTTCCTGTTTCTGCTCATGCGACTTGCGGATAGAAACTAAATCCTCACGACATGTCCTTAACAGGAAAAATAGAGATTGAGGGTATAACTTGGCGATCTTGGTGAGAACTGCCTTGGACAATCTTGCTTCACGGTGGGATAAACTTGTCAGCAGTTGCGGGATGAAGGTAATCCAGTACCATACAGGTGTATCACCCTTGAAACTCTCAAAGGCGGAGGCGATTTTCCCTTCTTCGTTGTCTAGACTGAGCAGCCACAGGATACGACTCAAAAGCTTCCTTGACTTGGAACTCTTGTATAAGCCAGCCGCCTCGAGATAGCAGCTGACGGCATTGCTTGCGAGTTCCAATTCCTTAGGAGACTCTTTGAATCGTTGATCGCTGTATTGACCCCATTCAGCCCAAGCTTTGGCGAGTCGTAGATCGTAGTATAGAGCTACCCCAAACGCTTCGTTGGCCTCATTGGTATGGTTAAGTTTGGCTAGGAACATGCCCTTCAAGGTATAAAACTCAGCTTTCTGTTGGGCGTTGAAGTAGTTCAGGTTCGTATTATTAATCACATCGAGTCCGCTGTTCAATTCCTTCGGGTTCTGGTAATGGCACTTCGCTTGCTCTCTTAATTTGAGGAATGCCTCCTGGATCTCAATATTGGGCAGTGTGTAGATGCGACTAAGCTGGTTGATACAGACTTCAGGCATTTGGTGTTTCCGTGCAACATGAGCAAAGCGGTTTATAATCCAGGCTGTCTCGTGATAACCTCGATAAGCGTAGGAATTGCTCGTCACAGTATTTGATTGTGGGAGAAGGCTGAGATAGGTCCCATTGATTAACTGGAAAATATGCTGTCGCCATGTAACTAAGTCTTGCCAAGCATTAATATCGTCCCATACGTTTGGCAGTCGATCGCGCCATGTGGCAAGCAACAACTTCAGCTCCGCGGACTTGGTATCTAGATTCCTTTCATTTGTCTGCGTCAAGCTCGTACAGATAACACTGGCATCGTGCAGCTCGACTAGCTGCTGGAAATTTTGAAGGATCGGAATATGTGCATTTGTAATCCGTTTAGGAAGCTGGTGCCACTTTCGGATCGATAATTGGATAGATTCATCGCATATATTATTGAAATCTTGAGGGTTTTCTTGCTTTCCATGAAACTTGAGAAGGGACATGAACGCCTGGAAGAACGTCCGTCGAGGAGTTGGGGCGTCAGAAACAGATTTAATCAAGGAATCCAACTGATCACGATTCGCTTCACCCTGCCAGTTGTCAAGGTTTCTCCAAGTCGCCTCCAAAAGAAGATCGTTGAAGTTCTCATGTTTCGCGAAATCGCTCAATATGTCCCATTGCTGCAGCTTCTGCGCGCAAATAATCCAGTGGTCCTCCCAGAGGAAATACTCCCCTTGCGAGAATGGAACAGCCCCAGTACGTGCCTTGATCTGTGCTGACTCGTACAGCTGCTGCGATTGATCCCACATCCCCTGCTGTTCATAAGACAGTGCAGCATTGGTTTCAACAAACTTACACCGTCTGCGCCAGGTGCCGTAGAACAAGTCATCTTCTTGCAATCCAGCGTATATCTCAACCAGAGCATCGAGGTTACTTTCACGAACGGCGGGTGTGTCAATCAGTGGGCTAATAGCCGACTCCTCAAGCCCACACGCAGCAATATACCAAGCATCGTATGTGCGACTGAGATATTTCATTACATGCGGCGGGATCTTAAACCGTGGCTTGGCCCTAACCACTCCTTCGAGAAGTGCCTGGATGACATTTGGCCGGTCGTCGATTTGGCCGCGATGATACTCGCGCGTGAGCAACGTTACCATCCCCTTTTCCAAGTCGCTCCGCTCATCCCGGTTCAACGTAGACCAACAAATAGTAAAGAGGGTTACCCAGATCCGATATGCAACCTTGGTATCTGCATGCTGAAGCTGCGAGAGGGGCTCAAGAATATCACGAACTTTGACATCGCCCAGTTCCTGGCAGAATTTCCTATGATCTGAGAACAGAGACTCTAGATGGCTGTCCACCATCAAGCCGTCCTTTCTGGGATCTTTGTCTGACCTTCCGAATAGGAATGCTGTGGGCGAAACAGTAAAGTCTTCTGGGTGGAGTCGAGCAGGTGTACTCATGTCGATCGAGCCAATAACCAATTGGGAAGCCTGTGTGAGCCAGAAGGAATCTGCAAGTGTATCCCAATTCTGCGACGTGAGAACATAGCTCAGCCGAGTATTGGCCGATCTCGTCAAGCTACGATCGAAAATGGACATGAAGCGATTGCGCATTTCGACATCTTGTGCTCGTGTGCCAATGAGGAAAGCATGTTCCAGCCGAACGGTCAACTCAGTTCTTGTGATCTTGGGATCCTCATAGATGCGTATGACCAGCTCCAGAAATTGCTTGAGGGGTGTCTGGTCTGGTCTGGATTCGAATAGGAGCATCTTATGCAAAACTGCAGTTTTCTCCTTGAGCGTCGGCCATGATTCTGTCGAGTTGAAGATCCAAGATTCAGCCAT